GGCGACCTCGACCTTAAGAGCCAAGTATCGTAACCACTTCAGCCAGGACATGGTGTTCAAAAGTGGCACCATACCGGCCGTGATATCCACGCCACCCCTTCAAGGCTGTAGTGTCCACACTCATCGCACACCACTCGCAACACCACATARACGCTGGCAATCACCACACACCTCGCTCCAAGTARTGCATGAAATACGAGGACCAATRCCCACCCGRCTTCAGCTGAGAAAAAYTGAGAACGATCAAAGAAGTTTTAGAAGATAGAAGGGCTAAAGGAGTAAAGATCATGACGTGGCAAAATTAAAAATAAAAATCGCTGACCTTGTTGGCAAAGGAGGAGGAGGGTAGGAATGTGAATAACTACAATATGCARAAAGAAGGAGAGGATGGAAAAGGAGGCAAAAAAAGGTGAGATGGAGTTGGGGAACAGAGTTGAYGCCGGGGGAGAAGAGGAGTTAAYGATGATGACGTGCGAAAAATAAAAAATGATGGCCACGTCTGAAGTCCGTTCACTATGGAGGTGGTTTAACCGGAGTGACAAGATAGACCTGTYTGTTTGGTACCATSATGACTAAGAAGCAGCAAAGTAGTACRTGTGAATRATGGTGGTGTTTTGGAAGCAAGCTGTAAGTGACCATCACAGCTGGGCATATGTATTGGATTATGCAAGAGCATATACACATAGCAAAGCATAGTTTGGGAGGTCACAWTAGTGCCTCCMAGTGCACCCAACARATTTTGCTGATGAGGAAATAGCACCAGCCTGAGGCYAATGCTGCATTATTTCAATSGATTGCAGAGTGGATGGGAGAATGGAGGACTGAGGTTCAAGCCGTCAGTCATTCCTCCTCTGAAAGAGTGTATTGAAAGAGATCGAAGGAGGAKAAAAAACACACATCGTCAAACAATTTCTACGATCCATTACTACTGCCTTTCCAACTTTTKGTACTACTGCCTTTCCACTTTCTCTGGGCTCAACTCCGCGAGTTTGTCWTCTCACCTCTTACCTCAAAAAAAAWAAAAAACTTAARCAAAGATGATGGAGCAGGAGGAAATAAAGTGGAAGGAGTCAGGGCAGAGCGAGGATACTGAGGGAGAAGAGGCAAAAATGATGACGTGGCAKTTTTTTTCTTGCCATGTCACGACYTTTTTTACCAAGAGCTAGAAGCGCCTAATCCTGCAATGGAGGAGGAGGAGTAGTGGCAGGGCAGGAAAAACWTGGAGTCTTTTCGGGGATGGTGAGGTGCCAAGGCAGGAGAACTTGGAGGAATGGTTGGGGAGGAGTTGGAGACGGGGGAAGCTCACCAGGGCGACGAGGYTGCCGAAGACAGTCTGAGGCGTCGGCATAAATTTTTCGAATGAGGAAGCTCGTTCGAACTTGAATCTGGGAGGCAAACTACCGCACCCATGGGGCTGGGTAGTCCGCAAAGTCGCCCACACGGTATGACGCATGGGTAGTCCGCAAAGTTGCCCACCCAGTATGTAGGGCGAATCGGGTAGAACGGGGTGCAGACCCAGGCCCTAAGGACAACTTCCAGATTGCAAATTTGTGCAACGGTTTGACAGGGGTGTAACACAACGAAATGGGCCCATAAGAGCATTCCCCTCTACCCAGTGTACCCACATTTATTTCCGGCATTTTGGCAAGTATTGCAACTTACGGGGGGGGTATTTCGCAAACTATACCTTAAAAAAAAAAAAAAAAAAAAAAAGACCTTGAGGCTTGGCCATTCAAAATTAGAATTAGAGAAAAAAAAAGAACTTTTAACCGTGACAGCAGGACTTTGCTAAGGATTTATGCCAGACATTCAAAATTAGAAAATAAAAATAGGAACTGAAAATTAGGGAATAGAGACCATGAATTTATAACTTTGCAGCCTATGATAGTAGGAATTTGCTAAGGATTTATGACATTTATGCTAATCGATTTCAATAACAAAAGTAAGAGAAAATATTTCCGGGACAAATCCATATCGTAATTAGGAATATACAGTACAGATACGAAAAAGGRACTACAAAAAATCACATTTTTGCTACAGTCTTCCCCCGAACAAAACGCACGTGCATTTTATATGAATAAAACGCACGAGGTGCGTTGTATTCGTATATAACGCACGTGCGTTATGCTACAAATTTTGGGCACCAACTTCGGGAACCAGGCCCCCCCAAAAAATGGAGTATGTGCACTTACCTTTAAACAGACAATGGCTCCGGGGTATCTGTTAAAACTGGAAAGACACACATGAATCGAGAAATGGTCCACATTAGGGGAAAACACACACACACTCACAAATCGAGAGACAAAAAGAAAAATCGAGAAACAGTTCACATTATGGGAGAACAAGCACACACACACACACACACACACACACACACACACACACACACACACACACACACACACACACACACACACACACGGGGCCTGATAGAGGGGCCCCCTTCCAGTACGCACCAAATGTGCAACATGTGAATGAATCTTACCATTGAAAACGGAATTATACATAGCCACATTTTTTATCTATTGTGCATGTGGAGAGTAGTGGAGTGAGGCCCTGACTGCACATATTATTAGAACAGTCGGCCCAATACGAGTTGTGCACAAGATTCAAACAAATTAGTCCGACATCGATGCAGTCTTGGAGCATCGCCATCACTCGCCAAATCGCCATCACCTGCCAAGATCTGCCACGCGGCCACAATCCGCCATCGCAGTAAGCTGCCAAGAGGACCTCCACCCGTCGTCGCAGTAAGCCACCAAGAAGAGCTCCATGCAAGGCACACACACACACACAAAAAAAAAATAAACACCCATATGTTCTATTTGAATAGAACACCTGCATGTTCGAATACAACATACATGCGTACTATTCGAATAGAATATATGTGCGTACTATTCTAATAGAACAGATGTCCGTACTATTTGAACGCGCGTTCTATTTGAATTTCGGGGGGTGACTTTGAGAAAGTGACTTTTCCAGGGAAAGTTGAATAGTACATATGTGCATTTTGTTCGGGGGCTGTAGGTTGTTTTTCCGGGCGCCCGGGCACCCAACTTGTGCTTGGATACACGGTCGGGTGCCCGACCGGGCATGACCCCCGGGCAGGGTTCCAAGCAGCCCCAGCGCAAAAAAAAAAAAAAAAAAAAAAAAAACACGAAAATTGAAAAATTCCAGAACAAAAATATGTTGTGTAGAATTGCAATACAAACAACTTTTGGTTGAGGGTCACATCAGAATTACTCATCGAATCGGAGAGAAAAAAGAAACTAACAAAATTACACTGAAGGACCCCCCTTTAACCCCCCTTAGCCCCTTAAAAAATAATTTATATCCCTTCCCCCCCCCCCTTGACAGCCAACTCTAAAAAAATGAAACGAGCCAGGATTTGGGGTCCTCTGGGAGTGCGCAGAAAGGCTTT